GCAGTCATAACTTCAAACTTCACTGAGAAAATTCATTTTATTCATTTTTTATTAATTTTAAAGTTCTTTCTTTTTGACACTGTAGGAAAATAATAAGTTAATGTCCACTTTTATTGACAGCTATATGCATTTTACTATCAGTCTGCTCTGAAGAAAACATTGCGCGGGATTGTTGTTTATGTAATTATGTACTGATTTTATTTAATATTTAATGTGTATCTGTTTTAACAGGCTGTTTTTTTTAATTAAAACATTTGAATATAAGCCACAAACATTACAAAAGCTGAGATTCTGAGGTGAAACAGTCACATTCATTCTCTTCTCCAAAGCGTTTTGCTCGTCTTTATTGTGGGTAATGGAGGGCTATGTTGCTGATTCAGCAAATGGTGCTTAATGGTCCTCGAAGGAGTACAAGCAATTGGTGCAGATGAACAAAGAAACATGACAGTACAATATTATATGAGATATAATACAGGGCCTATACAGATAAATGTAATCACTATTAGCTCTAAGAGTACCTTGGTGAAAACTACCAATCATCTTTCTTTTTATGAGTTTTAGTTTCTGTAAGTAACTTGGAAAAGTCTCACCTGTCATGACACTGTGACTCCTGGTAGTTTTATATCCTCTAAGTTTGCCAAAGCTTTGAGTTTCTAGATATTTTATAACTACATTCGCCTCCAGCTGTGCTTTATTTCAAAGTTTACCATAAAGGGTACTAGTGTGCGTGGGCTGAGGTTATAGGGTTACATTATGCAGCCTCTGCTTGTATCTAAATTAAATCCAGTGAAAAAAAAAGGCAAAATAAAGTAGCTTTTTCTTTTACTTAACTTACAGCTAGAAGATAACAGTTTAATAGAGAGATTGCACAAAAAGGTTTATCAGATATAAATGGTTTACCTCTTTTACAGAAGGAGGTTTAGGTCAGCAGAAAGTCTGGTTTAATCTCCCTTCTAATGGTGACCATGTTTTTAATTGTTCTAATTAGAAATGTATGTTGGTCTTATGCAGGGATGAAAGTAGTTTTCATTTCTTGCCAGTGCTATTGCTTTAGACATCACTGCCTCATGTTGCCCCCTCTCGATCCTTATTCATTTAAATAAAGATTAAAACAGTTTTTTATTTATTATTCCTCTTGTAACAGCTGTGTTTTTTTTTCAGACAGTGAATTCAATGAAACACGCAGATTCTCTTAGTCACATATATTGTGGAGTAGGTTGGCATGCTCACGCCAGTACTACTAAGGGTAGTTTGTCCTTTTGCTCCTGAGAAGATTTTTCAAGGTGTTCCTTATTTCTTAAACGTAAAAAAAGACAGCACGAGAGACAACTATTAATTTTTCTAATGATTGTAGATGAAAAGTGAATGCGATGACTGGAAAGAGATCAAATATGGAGGTCCACATTTGGAAGACTGACCTCTGTTAAGATTCCCTTACTCTGAAAGCAGGAGAAAGAAAGAAAATACTAATTAGGCTCCAAAAATATAGCCCTGATATTTCAGAGACTATTTTTTAATGAGTGTAAAAAGCATATTATAAACAAATAGAGTAGTTTTTCAGACTGCATGTTACTTACACATCTATTTGCTGACCTAACGTGCAGAAATAACTGATTATCTCAGACAGCCATTGTCTTCCCAGTACTGTGTACCTTGGCTGATTCTCTCAGAGGTTAGTGATTAACAGTACTGGATCATACTGGTCCAATCCTTGTCTTGTCCTTCTTGGTCTGAAAAAGAAATCTCCAACAGCTTTTGTTCTGTTTATTTAAACTGTTTATTTAAAATAAGATATGACTTGCTTTTATGGAACATCCATCCATCCATTTTCTGTCACATTTATCCCTGCTTGGGTTGGAAGGGGTTCCTATCTCCAGCTTTCTATGGCGAGAGGTGAATAACACCCTGGACAGGTCGCCAGTCTTATCACAGGACAACATAAAGACAAACAAGACAAACAACCATCCACAAACACAATCACTCTTATGGAGAATTTAGAGAAGCCATTTAACAAAACAGTCATGTTTTTAAACTGTGGGAGTTTCTATGGACACTCTAGGGGAGAAACACAGGTAAGTGACCACGATCATCTGACTGAAGATGATGTTCCCAGTGAGTCACTTACCTGGTTTAACAGTCCAGACCAAGAATGTCCCCAAGTGCTGCAGTCCCAGAGGTCATGCTGGAAGCCGATCCTGGTCAGGGATGCAGAACAGGCAGGAACAGACAGAACAGGTTGCAGATCAGGCAGGAACAGAAACAGGTGGTAGGATCCAGACTTCCAGGCATCCACAGGCTCCCAGGAGGGTTCAGAGTCTGACTGGGACCAGAAGC